AGTGGGCCTCATACCCATCCTGTGAGTGGTAGTGGACCCCATACCCATCCTGTGGGTGGTAGTGGACCCCATACCCATCCTGTGAGTGGTAGTGGACCCCATACCCATCCTGTGAGTGGTAGTGGGCCCCATACCCATCCTGTGAGTGGTAGTGGACCCCATACCCATCCTGTGGGTGGTAGTGGACCCCATACCCATCCTGTGGGTGGTAGTGGACCCCATACCCATCCTGTGAGTGGTAGTGGACCCCATACCCATCCTGTGAGTGGCAGTGGACCCCATACCCATCCTGTGGGTGGTAGTGGACCCCATACCCATCCTGTGGGTGGTAGTGGACCCCATACCCATCCTGTGAGTGGTAGTGGACCCCATACCCATCCTGTGGGTGGTAGTGGACCCCATACCCATCCTGTGAGTGGTAGTGGACCCCATACCCATCCTGTGGGTGGTAGTGGACCCCATACCCATCCTGTGAGTGGTAGTGGACCCCATACCCATCCTGTGAGTGGTAGTGGACCCCATACCCATCCTGTGGGTGGTAGTGGACCCCATACCCATCCTGTGGGTGGTAGTGGACCCCATACCCATCCTGTGAGTGGTAGTGGACCCCATACCCATCCTGTGAGTGGTAGTGGACCCCATACCCATCCTGTGAGTGGTAGTGGACCCCATACCCATCCTGTGAGTGGTAGTGGACCCCATACCCATCCTGTGGGTGGTAGTGGACCCCATACCCATCCTGTGGGTGGTAGTGGACCCCATACCCATCCTGTGAGTGGTAGTGGACCCCATACCCATCCTGTGAGTGGTAGTGGACCCCATACCCATCCTGTGAGTGGTAGTGGACCCCATACCCATCCTGTGGGTGGTAGTGGACCCCATACCCATCCTGTGAGTGGTAGTGGACCCCATACCCATCCTGTGGGTGGTAGTGGACCCCATACCCATCCTGTGGGTGGTAGTGGACCCCATACCCATCCTGTGAGTGGTAGTGGACCCCATACCCATCCTGTGAGTGGTAGTGGACCCCATACCCATCCTGTGGGTGGTAGTGGACCCCATACCCATCCTGTGAGTGGTAGTGGACCCCATACCCATCCTGTGAGTGGTAGTTTTTTTTTACCACAGACCTCTTACTTCTTAGCAATATTTCAAGGATTTTTAAGATGTGTGAAGTTAATGCTATCTAGTTATCATTTTTTGCCTCTGCTTTACTACCTCCTTTATGGAGTGGCGTTATCTTCACTGTTATCAGTAGACCAGAGCCTGTCATAGTGTTTTTTATACAAATGTTGATGAATTCAGTGGGTCTAGGATCTTCACTGAAAACACAGTCGTACAGGATCCCATTTTAATTTTTTGAGGTCATATGTGCCATGGCTCGATGCCTGTGGCTGAGTTGCAGACGGTAGCAGCTGCTTGCACAAGCATTGCCTGAGGATGGATCGGATACAAGGGGATCAAGTTCCGCGTTCGTCATCCTCGTAGCGGATACACGACACCATTGTAGAGATCTGAATGCTTGTAACGAACACTGAAATATGACTCCAACTCCCGCCCTTTTTTGAATGTATCTTAGTAGGGGAAAATGCGACATTTCGTCACCCCCTTCCCCCCCCCCCTTCTTCCCCTGTTACTAGGGGCCAAATCAGGGGTCCAGCAGGAGTGGAAATGACGAACATTTAAGCAGGTGTGGATATGTGACCCATGGCCAGGTGTGGGTATGTGAGCCATGGCCAGGTGTGGATATGTGAGCCATGGCCCAGGTGTGGGTATGTGAGCCATGGCCAGGTGTGGGTATGTGAGCCATGGCCCAGGTGTGGGTATGTGACCCATGGCCAGGTGTGGATATGTGAGCCATGGCCAGGTGTGGATATGTGACCCATGGCCCAGGTGTGGATATGTGAGCCATGGCCAGGCGTGGATATGTGACCCATGGCCAGGTGTGGGTATATGAGCCATGGCCAGGTGTGGATATATGAGCCATGGCCAGGTGTGGATATATGAGCCATGGCCAGGTGTGGATATATGAGCCATGGCCAGGTGAGGATATATGAGCCATGGGTGTAATTGCAATTCCACACATAAACAGGATAACATCAGCGGCATATGCGACGATGGGTGACAACACAACGTCCAGAAACCCCAGATAATGACTCAAGGCACTCTACACAACCTACGTGAGACCAACACTGGAATACGCAGCACTGGCTTTCACACCCTGCGAATCCAAAATGTAAAACTAAAAAAAAAAAAATAATTCCACCAAGACCAATATGATACAGAGCCCAATAGGCTAAGAAACCTGTACACCAGTTGATTGACAGTCGAGAGGCGGGACCAAAGAGCCAGAGCTCAACCCCCGCAAGCACAACTAGGTGAGTACATCCTACCCACAAGCCAAGATAAACAACTCCAACAAACAACAAGAAGCCCCCTTGAAACAAGGCAATCAAGGGACCACTCAGAGTCTAGAAAGAAACAACGGTTGTTTACTGTTGGTACTATGAAGGGGGGTTGGGGGGAGAGAGAGGGGGGGGGGGAGCTACAGAGTAAGAGGAAAATAATGGACAAGAGAGAGAGAGAGAGAGAGAGACAGAGAGACAGAGAGAGAGAGAGAGAGAGAGAGAGAGAGAGAGAGAGAGAGAGAGAGAGAGAGAGAGAGAGAGAGAGAGAGAGAGAGAGAGAGAGAGAGAGAGAGCGACAGACAGAGAGACAGAGAGAGAGAGAGACAGAGAGAGAGAGAGACAGAGAGACAGAGACAGAGAGAGAGAGAGAGAGAGAGACAGACAGAGAGACAGAGAGAGAGAGAGACAGAGAGAGAGAGAGACAGAGAGACAGAGAGACAGAGACAGAGAGAGAGAGAGAGAGAGAGAGAGAGAGAGAGAGAGAGAGAGAGAGAGAGAGAGAGAGAGAGAGAGAGAGCGACAGACAGAGACAGACAGAGAAAATGATGGTCTTCTTACTCTTGTATAGTTTTGCCAAACCAGAAAGCTGTTCTTTCTATCCCTACAGCTCTGTTATTCATTGTTACCTGTTCTTCCTGTTCATACATGTCTCCTGTTAATCCTGTTCACACAACCCTGTTGTTCTACGACACAGACATAGCAAGGAACAAGAACTACAACAACAGCTGCTTTCACTCACAACTACAAAAACTTGTAGTTATCATGGTCCTACAAGAACACTGTAGCCTCTCTAAACCCTCCCTTCTCCCCCCACGTGTGCGTCAGATATACTCATCTAGTTGTGCTTACGGGGGGTTGAGCTCTGGCTCTTCGGTCCCGCCTCTCAACTGTCACGTGTGTGTGTGTGTGTGTACTCACCTAGTACTCACCTAGTTGTGTTTGCGGGGGTTGAGCTCTGGCTCTTTGGTCCCGCCTCTCAACTGTCACGTGTGTGTGTGTGTGTGTGTGCGTGTGTGTGTGTTTTGTGAAGTTATACAAACTATACTCCCAATCATCTTCCGTGGTTGAGTGCTGAATAACATCGCAAGTCTTCGGGACGAGTAGAAGAACTCTTGAAACCCTCTTCAGGTAAGCCCCAGGTAAAACACACACACACACACACTAAAACAGTTGCCTGACAGTTGAGAGGCGGGCCGAAAGAGCAAAGCTCAACCCCCGCAAACACAACTAGGTGAATACACTGAGCAAGGTATAGACCAGCTGCTCTCTACCCCCCCCCCCAGCCCCTGTCTATGTCACAGAGGAGAAACTATGCCACTAAGCACTGTAAAAAAAATATCCCTCCACTCGTCATCTATGATTGAATGAAACACAGCAGCGAACGCGTGTATGTAACCTGTTTAACTTTGTATATCTGTATGGCCCAAGTCATGTAGAAAATATACACCCGAAAAAATATACTCCCCCCTCCCTTCTTTAGCATATATCTACGATCCTTTTCCTTTTTCGTGGTTCTAAAATCACGGACATAGAACCACAACAACAAATCAAAACAAAACGACAAGAAGGAGGGACACCGACGACAACTCGTCCTGGTGGCGTCGGTGTTGCCAGAGGCGCGATAATGACGGAAATTCTCGAGGTCCTTCACATTCTTCAACTATTCAAACCAATTTTACCATTCTTTGGGAGGGAGAACAGTAGGGGAAGGTGTGTGTGGGGGGGGGGGGAGGGGTGTGTAATGGGGACGGGTGTTGTGGGAATAGGTTCTGGCGGCGGTAATGGGATAATAGGGGCTATTAATATCGTGTGGTTGCTGTGTGTGTTTGTGTCTGCCCGCTAGGAGGCAGCAAGGCTGAGTGTGAGTGAGTGCGTGAGTGCGTGCGTGAGTGAGTAAGTGAGTGAGTGAGTGAGTAAGTGAGTGAGTGAGTGAGTGAGTGAGTGAGTGAGTGTGTGTGTGTGTACTCACCTAGTTGTGCTTGCGGGGGTTGAACTCTGGCTCTTTGGTCCCGCCTCTCAACTGTCAATCAACTGGTGTACAGGTTCCTGAGCCTATTGGGCTCTATCATATCTACACTTGAAACTGTGTATGGAGTCAGCCTCCACCACATCACTGCTGCCTAATGCATTCCATTTACTAACTACATTTACTGTGTGTGTGTGTTTGAGAGAGAGAGAGAGAGAGAGAGAGAGAGAGAGAGAGAGAGAGAGAGAGAGAGAGAGAGAGAGAGAGAGAGAGAGAGAGAGAGAGAGAGAGAGAGAGAGAGAGAGATACCAACTGCTACGAGGGTCATTAACCACAAACCTAACTCCTTCTTGACAACAGGAGGAATGCAAATCACAATATGAAGCCAAAGTCTCCTCCCACCTTGACTACACAACTCTGCTAAATAGCCTGAGGACCTAGAGAGACACTCACAAACTTCAAGACACGACCAAAGACCTACACACCACCTACAGGGCTATTCATGCCCGTGCCACCTTTTTATAGTGGCTCACACCTACATCATTCCCTCCTACTTCTCAAATTCGTAAAAATTCTGGCCAAAGTGGAGGCCCTTTGCAAGAACATTCGTCATATCTCGACCCATTATGGCTGAACTGGTCGACACATTACTAGACCACAACACCACAGACTTCATGCCCATGCTGACGACGGCATTCACAACACAAGCCACTCAGCAGTCAACTGTTTCATGGTGAGTGTGTCTTTCCTCTCAGGCAGTTCGCCTTGTCATGCATTCCTATGCTGACTCGTCTCTCTGACTCGTTTGGTTATGTAGTTACACGGTAAAATGCACACGAGGGGCCAGACGAAGGTCGTTTAGCGCACAGTAGCATCCCGGGTCATTCTCTTCCCTAATTAGCAAAACAATTCATGTTGCTACCTGGTTGATGGGGTTCTGGGAGTTGTTCTACTGCCCAAGCCCGGCCCGAGGCCAGGCTTGACTTGTGAGAGTTTGGTCCACCAGGCTGTTGCTTGGAGCGGCCCGCAGGCCCACATATACCTGGTTGATGGGGTTCTGGGAGTTGTTCTACTGCCCAAGCCCGGCCCGAGGCCAGGCTTGACTTGTGAGAGTTTGGTCCACCAGGCTGTTGCTTGGAGCGGCCCGCAGGCCCACATATACCTGGTTGATGGGGTTCTGGGAGTTGTTCTACTGCCCAAGCCCGGCCCGAGGCCAGGCTTGACTTGTTAGAGTTTGGTCCACCAGGCTGTTGCTTGGAGCGGCCCGCAGGCCCACATATACCTGGTTGATGGGGTTCTGGGAGTTGTTCTACTGCCCAAGCCCGGCCCGAGGCCAGGCTTGACTTGTGAGAGTTTGGTCCACCAGGCTGTTGCTTGGAGCGGCCCGCAGACCCACATATACCTGGTTGATGGGGTTCTGGGAGTTGTTCTACTGCCCAAGCCCGGCCCGAGGCCAGGCTTGACTTGTGAGAGTTTGGTCCACCAGGCTGTTGCTTGGAGCGGCCCGCAGGCCCACATATACCTGGTTGATTGGGTTCTGGGAGTTGTTCTACTGCCCAAGCCGGCCCGAGGCCAGGCTTGACTTGTGAGAGTTTGGTCCACCAGGCTGTTGCTTGGAGCGGCCCGCAGGCCCACATATACCTGGTTGATAGGGTTCTGGGAGTTGTTCTACTGCCCAAGCCCGGCCCGAGGCCAGGCTTGACTTGTGAGAGTTTGGTCCACCAGGCTGTTGCTTGGAGCGGCCCGCAGGCCCACATATACCTGGTTGATGGGGTTCTGGGAGTTGTTCTACTCCCCGAGCCCGGCCAACAAGGAGCATTTGGTAGAGCCAATTAGGCAGTAATCTTACAGCAATTAGCTAATCTGGAGCTAACAAGCGCTTGCTTCATTTGATACGAGATTAGCTACATGAGAGAAATGATCTGGTGTATTACTAAGGATCCTTGTCTGATGAAAAGAGGTTTCAGGTAGGTATTATGGGGAGTTGTAAGTTCCATCTTGTTCAGTGTGGTAATGAACAGGTTAGCATCAAATATTTTTTTTTAATTTTGCCCCGAGGGGCGAGTTTATTGGGCAGTGTCACTCATCTTGTGAGTGGACACACCACCATAGTGACAGTATTGGGCAGCGTCACTCATCCTGTGAGTGGACACACCGCCATAGTGACAGTATTGGGCAGCGTCATTCATCCTGTGAGTGGACACACCGCCATAGTGACAGTATTGGGCAGCGTCACTCACCCTGTGAGTGGACACACCGCCATAGTGACAGTATTGGGCAGCGTCACTCACCCTGTGAGTGGACACACCGCCATAGTGACAGTATTGGGCAGCGCCACTCATCTTGTGAGTGGACACACCGCCATAGTGACAGTATTGGGCAGCGTCACTCATCTTGTGAGTGGACACACCGCCATAGTGACAGTATTGGGCAGCGTCACTCATCCTGTGAGTGGACACACCGCCATAGTGACAGTATTGGGCAGCGTCACTCATCTTGTGAGTGGACACACCGCCATAGTGACAGTATTGGGCAGCGCCACTCATCCTGTGAGTGGACACACCGCCATAGTGACAGTATTGGGCAGCGTCACTCATCCTGTGAGTGGACACACCGCCATAGTGACAGTATTGGGCAGCGTCACTCATCCTGTGAGTGGACACACCGCCATAGTGACAGTATTGGGCAGCGTCACTCATCCTGTGAGTGGACACACCGCCATAGTGACAGTATTGGGCAGCGTCACTCATCCTGTGAGTGGACACACCGCCATAGTGACAGTATTGGGCAGCGCCACCCATCCTGTGAGTGGACACACCGCCATAGCAGCATACACTCCCCAATAGGAAGAAAACCCGCTGGGTTGTTCATCCTGTCACTAGTGCTACCCAAACACAGCTGGGACTGGCTTAACTGTCTCAAATGAGCATCCAACAAGAAGAGTAACATCTGTCAACCCTTAAAATCTTACATTATCTTGCGACAAAATGGGACAATGTCTCTAGAACAGAATAAGGATTCACAGTCCCACACCCCCCCTCTCCCATATTCTCTCTCTCTCTCCCATCAACACATACCCCCCCCACACACCCCTCTCCATATTCTCTCTCTCTCTCTCCCATCAACACATACCCCCCCACACACCCCTCTCCCATATTCTCTCTCTCTCTCTCCCATCAACACATACCCCCCCACACACCCCTCTCCCATATTCTCTCTCTCTCTCCCATCAACACATACCCCCCCCCCACACACCCCTCTCCCATATTCTCTCTCTCTCTCCCATCAACACATACCCCCCCCCCACACACCCCTCTCCCATATTCTCTCTCTCTCTCCCATCAACACATACCCCCACCCCACACACCCCTCTCCCATATTCTCTCTCTCTCTCCCATCAACACATACCCCCCCCACACACCCCTCTCCCATATTCTCTCTCTCTCTCCCATCAACACATACCCCCCCCCACACACCCCTCTCCCATATTCTCTCTCTCTCTCCCATCAACACATACCCCCCCCCACACCCCTCTCCCATATTCTCTCTCTCTCTCCCATCAACACATACCCCCCCCCACACCCCTCTCCCATATTCTCTCTCTCTCTCCCATCAACACATACCCCCCACCCCACACCCCCCCACCCCCCCAGAGAGAAGTGATCTCGTTTTAACTCAACAATGACATTGCTTTGTCTCAAGGTGGTGTGTTGCGACACCATCTCCAACATTACCATAGCAACAATATGGTCCATAAACCCTTCCCCCCCCCCCTTTCCCAGCCTCTTGGGTGATGGGGGGGGGGGGCGACTCTCCCATCTCTCAGGTAATGAGGGAGAGGTTCTCTCACACCTGTGAGAGAGAGAGAGGGTGTGTGGTTTAAGCAATGCAGATGATGCACATTTGACCACAACTGACCAGTTGCAATGTTAGCATCTGAAGGATTGTATAGATATTTTATAGTTGTGAACAACCGCTCGGTGTTCCGATGTTTGGAGAACAGTTGTGGAGAACTGGAGCGCCCCAGCGTCGCGTCAGGGGTTCGATTCCCGTGTGCATGGGGGACAATTAGGCTTACAGGATTCAGAAGTGGGGATATGTTAGCGCTGTAAAATGTTCTGAAGCATTAGAAATGGTGAAGTATTCATTATCTGTCTGTCTGTCTGTCTGTCTGTCTGTCTGTCTGTCTGTCTGTCTGTCTGTCTGTCTGTCTGTGTCTCTCTCTGTCTGTCTGTCTGTCTGTCTGTGTCTCTCTCTGTCTGTCTGTCTGTCTGTGTCTCTCTCTGTCTGTCTGTGTCTCTCTCTGTCTCTCCCTCTCTCTCTCTCTCTCTGTCTCTCTCTCTCTCTCTCTCTCTCTCTCTCTCTCTCTCTCTCTCTCTCTCTCTCTCTCTCTCTCTCTCTCTCTCTCTCTCTCTCTCTCTCTCTCTCTCTCTCTCTCTCTCTCTCTCTCTCTCTCTCTCTCTCTCTCTCTCTCTCTCTCTCTCTCTCTCTCTCTCTCTCACACACGCTAGTGGCTGAGTGAACAGCACGCTGGATACGTAGTCCTGTGGATCGGGGTTCGATTCCCGGCGAGGGCGGAAACAAAGGGGCAGCTTCTTTCACCCTGATGATCCTGTTACCTAGCAGTAGTAGCAACGGGCTGCTTCCTGGTGTGTACTCACCTAGTTGTGCTTCCGGGGGTTGAGCTCTGGCTCTTTGGTCCCGCCTCTCAACTGTCAATCAACTGGTGTACAGGTTCCTGAGCCTATTGGGCTCTATCATATCTACATTTGAAACTGTGTATGGAGTCAGCCTCCACCACATTACTGCCTAATGCATTCCACCTGTTAACTACTCTGACACTGAAAAAGTTCTTTCTAACGTCTCTGTGGCTCATCTGGGTACTCAGTTTCCACCTGTGTCCCTTTGTTCGCGTCCCACCAGTGTTGAATAGTTTATCCTTGTCTACCCTGTCAATTCCTCTGAGGATTTTGTAGGCAGTGATCATGTCTGCCCTCACTCTTCTGCCTTCCAGTGCCGTAAGGTGCATTTCCCACAGCCTTTCCTCGCAACTCATGTTCTCCAAGTTCTTTCACTTTTAAATAAGCCACAAGAGGTATTAATAACATCTAAATGCAGCATTTTAGGGCTAAAAATATGAGCACAAACGTCTAAGTCAATGCGACTAGGCGGCAACACTCCAGACAGGCACCTAGGCATTCAAGACATTAATCTTTAGTGGGTCACACATTATCAATATCTCAAGAGTGTGGACAGATTCTTAAATGATATTCAACAAGCAACTTCAGTGTCTGAAGGAGAAAGCAAAATCCCGCCTGAATATAATGAGAGCAATCACAAGGGCCCCGTCTAATGTTGTTGTTGTTTTAGAGTCTGCTACACGGAACAAAAAGTTGCAAGTAGCACGGGCTATGGTGAGCCCGTAGTGGACTTACCTGGCACAGGAGCGGGGCAAGTAGCACGGGCTATGGTGAGCCCGTAGTGGACTTACCTGGCACAGGAGCGGGGCAAGTAGCACGGGCTATGGTGAGCCCGTAGTGGACTTACCTGGCACAGGAGCGGGACTCAAAGTGTTAAGAATGTTTTACATACACGCCGTTCATCGAGGCCATTGGAGGCCTGGTCGAGGACCGGGCCGCGGGGACACTAAAGCCCCGAAATCATCTCAAGATAACCTCAAGATAACCATCCCTAGTTGATTATCCAGTGCCTGCCTTACTCACTCTTTCTCCTGACTATCTTCTTGAGGTTATCTTGAGATGATTTCGTGGCTTTAGTGTCCCCGCGGCCCGGTCCTCGACCAGGCCTCCACCCCCAGGAAGCAGCCCGTGACAGCTGACTAACTCCCAGGTACCTATTTACTGCTAGGTAACAGGGGCATTCAGGGTGAAAGAAACTTTGCCCATTTGTTTCTGCCTCGTGCGGGAATCGAACCCGACTAATGGGCAAACGTTGAGGTTCTTCAAAATGATGCAATGCGAGTCATAACAGGAGCTCCCAGATGGACTAAAATACTGAACCTAAGACTAGAAACCAAACTAACGTCGATTGACATCAGGGTATAAGGGCTTGCTGCGTGCATGCTGTCCAAGATATTGACTAGACCTAGAATCAGTTCACTTAAAGATATAATCACTGGAGCACTAACTGGGGACAGAAGAGCCTCCAATAGCAACAGGTGGACCCATTGTGCGATAAACCAACCCGTTCTCGCAAATTTAATAAGTCAATATTGACTTATTAGTTGCATGCATAGGTGACATACTAAACATAATAGTTTCCCTTGAAAACCTTCATAGAAAACACCGACCTTACCTAACCTACTTAGTATGTTAAAATAAGCATCTTATAGCTTCGTAATTACAATTGTTACGTAACCTATTATAGGTATAGGTTAGGTAATAATTGTAATTACGAAGCAATAAGAGGCTTATCTTAACATACTAAGTAGGTTAGGTAAGGTCGGTGTTTTCTATGAAGCTTTTCAAGGGAAACTATTATGTTTAGTATGTCACCTATGCACGCAACTAATAAGTCAATATTGACTTATTAAATTTGCGACAACGGGTTGGATAAACACCATCAATACATTCGATATAACATACAGCCACTGAGAAGGGTGTCGACGACCGGGCCGCGGGGACGCTAAGCCCCGGAAGCACCTCAAGGTAACCTCAAGGTAACCTCAAGGTAAGGTACAGTCCCTGAGAAGGGTGTCGACGAAATACTTGCAGACTTTGTCATGCAAGACCCTTGGGAATCTCCTGGTTGATACCTGGTTGATACCTGGTTGATACCTGGTTGATACCTGGTTGATACCTGGTTGATACCTGGTTGATACCTGGTTGATACCTGGTTGATACCTGGTTGATGGGGTTCTGGGAGTTCTTCTACTTCTGCTCGACTTCTCCGACAGAAGACTTTAAGATTATGGTTCTTGAGGAAAAAATATCCAGGAAGGAACTATCAGGGGGAAAGCGCCAAGCCATTACGACTATATAGCACTTGGAAGGGGTCAGGATAAGGATTTGGGATGGGACGGGAGGCAGGAATGGTGTCCAACCACTTGGACGGTCGGGGATTGAACGCCGACCTGCATGAAGCGAGACCGTCGCTCTACCGTCCAGATGCATATAGAAGCAAACTTGGCATCCGACAGCTTCACTTACTTGACAGATGGATCAGTAGACCAGCAGAGACAAGAAACCGGAGCTGTAGTTAAGACAGCATGTAAACTCCAACTGTAGTTATCTTGAGGTTATCTTGAGATGATTTCGGGGCTTTAGTGTCCCCGCGGCCCGGTCCTCGACCAGGCCTTCACCCCCAGGAAGCAGCCCGTGACAGCTGACTAACTCCAAGGTACCTATTTTACTGCTAGGTAACAGGGGCATAGGGTGAAAGAAACTTTGCCCATTGTTTCTCGCCGGCGCCTGGGATCGAACCCAGGACCACAGGATCACAAGTCCAGCGTGCTGTCTGCTCGGCCGACCGGCTCCCCTAGTTAGCTGGAGACTCAAATGGGTGTTCAACTCTACAGAGGGATGCTAGCCATTCAAAAGACTTTAGAACATGTTCTTGCTGAACACCGACATGTTATTATACACACAGAAACTTATTACCCAGATGAGCCACAGAGACGTTAGAAGGAACTTTTCCAGTGTCAGAGTAGTTAACAGATGGAATGCATTAGGCAGTGATGTGGTGGAGGCTGACTCCATACACAGTTTCAAGTGTAGATATGATAGAGCCCAATAGGTTCAGAAACCTGTACACCTGTTGATTGACAGTTGAGAAGCGGGACCAAAGAGCCAGAGCTCAACCCCTGCAAACACAACTAGGTGAGTACACACACACACACACACACACACACACACACACACACACACACACACACACACACACACACACACACACACACACACACACACACATATCAGGAATCTGTACACCTGTTGATTGACGGTTGAGAGGCGGGACCAAAGAGCCAGAGCTCAACCCCCGCAAACACAACTAAGTGAATACAGCAGTTGCAACATCAGGATCTGCGGGTTGGTACAAGAATTCAACCAACTACGAACCACTTAGTGGTTCGTAGTACATGAAAGTGAGCAGTAGAGCAGCAGAAGTACACTTACATCAGACTGGGATACCCATGTGCATGGGGAATAGGCTTACAGGTTCCGGAAGATGAGAGGAAATGTCAACACTGTGGAGAAATGCCTGACAGATCACTGGAACATTATCTAACACAGTGCACAGTTACAACCACAACAGACCACTGGAACACTAACACAGTGCACAGTTACAGCCACAACAGACTACTGGAACACTAACACAGTGCACAGTTACAGCCACAACAGACCACTGGAACACTAACACAGTGCACAGTTACAGCCACAACAGACCACTGGAACACTAACACAGTGCACAGTTACAACCACAACAGACCACTGGAACACTAACACAGTGCACAGTTACAACCACAACAGACCACTGGAACACTAACACAGTGCACAGTTACAGCCACAACAGACTACTGGAACACTAACACAGTGCACAGTTACAGCCACAACAGACCACTGGAACACTAACACAGTTACAACCACAACAGACCACTGGAACACTAACACAGTGCACAGTTACAGCCACAACAGACCACTGGAACACTAACACAGTGCACAGTTACAGCCACAACAGACCACTGGAACATTATCTAACACAGTGCACAGTTACAGCCACAACAGACCACTGGAACACTAACACAGTGCACAGTTACAGCCACAACAGACCACTGGAACAGGAGAACAGGAGAAGGGAACGTAACAGAACAAGGGGGGGGGGGACGGAGAAGAACCAGTCAACCAATCAGGAAGAAGAACCAGTCAACCAATCAGGGAGAAGTACCAGTCAACCAATCAGGAAGAAGAACCAGTCAACCAATCAGGGAGAAGTACCAGTCAACCAATCAGGAAGAAGAACCAGTCAACCAATCAGGGAGAAGAACCAGTCAACCAATCAGGGAGAAGAACCAGTCAACCAATCAGGGAGAAGAACCAGTCAACCAATCAGGAAGAAGAACCAGTCAACCAATCAGGAAGAAGAACCAGTCAACCAATCAGGGAGAAGAACAAGTCAACCAATCAGGGAGAAGAACAAGTCAACCAATCAGGGAGAAGAACCAGTCAACCAATCAGGGAGAAGAACCAGTCAACCAATCAGGGAGAAGAACCAGTCAACCAATCAGGGAGAAGAACCAGTCAACCAATCAGGGAGAAGAACCAGTCAACCAATCAGGGAGAAGAACCAGTCAACCAATCAGGGAGAAGAACCAGTCAACCAATCAGGGAGAAGAACCAGTCAACCAATCAGGGAGAAGAACCAGTCAACCAATCAGGGAGAAGAACCAGTCAACCAATCAGGGAGAAGAACCAGTCAACCAATCAGGGAGAAGAACCAGTCAACCAATCAGGAAGAAGAACCAGTCAACCAATCAGGGAGAAGAACCAGTCAACCAATCAGGGAGCAGACCAGTCAATAATCACCCAATCACCCCTACGTCATCTGGCACTCCTGAGGCGCGCCAGTGCCAGCCGCGTCAGTCCTCATGCCCAATATGTTCCGTTCCTGACACAATCCACCAATACGTTCAGAATGCGACGTAATAAAGGTGAGTAATTGACGTTTTCTATGCGTCCTATCATACACACACATATATATATATATATATATATATATATATATATATATATATATATATATATATATATATATATATATATATATATATATGTCGTACCTAGTAGCCAGAACGCACTTCTCAGCCTACTATGCAAGGCCCGATTTGCCTAATAAGCCAAGTTTTCCTGAATCAATATATTTTCTCTAATTTTTTCTTATGAAATGATAAAGCTACCCATTTCATTCTGTATGAGGTCAATTTTTTGTTATTGGAGTTAAAATTAACGTAGATATATGACCGAACCTAACCAACCCTACCTAACCTAACCTAACCTATCTCTATAGGTTAGGTTAGGTAGCGGAAAAAGTTAGGTTAGGTTAGGTTAGGTAGGTTAGGTAGTCGAAAAACAATTAATTCATAAAAACTTGGCTTATTAGGCAAATCGGACCTTGCATAGTAGGCTGGGAAGTGCGTTCTGGCTACTAGGTACGACACATATATATATATATATATATATATATATATATATATATATATATATATATATATATATATATATATATATATTAAAAATGCCGGTAAAATTATATATAATCAAAACATTTTTTTTTAAATTCAAAATTCAGATTCGTACAAAATGACAGTATTCACCTAGGTATATCTTTATTGTATAACACGTAATTATTCTAACATGATGGATTATTTAGAATTTGAGTACTTGACAACTGTTTGCTAACTTCAGGTGCTTGACAACTGTTTGCTAACTTAAAGTACTTGACAATTCCCTGCTAACTTAAAGTACTTGACAATTCCCTGTAATTCTGTATTTTCAAGTGACCACTTTTGTTGGCTTGGATTCGAACCCTGACCCCACTGCCACTCCCAACCTTATGGGTCCACAAACCCGCAAAACCATGAAAAAAAAACCTACCTATAATCCTTAAACAAATCCAAAAAAATAACATACCGAACAAAGACAATATATCTTGAGGTTATCTTGAGATGATTTCGGGGCTTTTTAGTGTCCCCGCGGCCCGGTCCTCGACCAGGCCTCCACCCCCAGGAAGCAGCCCGTGACAGCTGACTAACACCCAGGTACCTAATTTACTGCTAGGTAACAGGGATATAGACAAGATATAGACAAGATATCTTACCTGATCAGGGCGTCGATGGTATAATTCTTCGAGTAGACTTGTTCTAATGGTTTGTTTCTCGTGGTAGATAGATCCTAGATATCCATGATTTGTTGGTGGGTTTTTGTAATGCGTTCCCCCTTATTTAGAGAGGGGGGGGAGGGTAGTTAGGGGGGTGGTATAAGAGGGGGGGGAGGGGTGGTCGTTAGACCTAGGTCGGTGTAATACCCGACCCCCCCTATAACTAGCCCATTGTTGAGAAGTCGTTTTGGGGTCAAAAATCACTCATATTTCACTCGATAGGGAGAGGGCGCGCGCGCGAGCGGGCGGGCGCCACTGTCCAGTTCCTCTCTTTTAAGTTTTTAAAATCCACTGCTGATATAACGAACGCGATTGGGCACGGTGTTCCACCACAGATATCCACCGCTGGCGGCCGCTATGCCACGGCACTTGAGTTTTATCAACGTAGGAAAAGTGACGTTTTAAACAACTTTCACATTTGTTCAAAAAGTTCAAATTGAAACTAATTGTCATTCACTACTTTATGTTCGTCATATGTTCAACACCTGTTCCATTGAACACCTGTGGAGGGGAAAAAACATACGTGTTAGCGCAGTTGTTTGGCCAATTTTCTAAGCAACTCGTCCTCCCAAACAATAGGTCACCTTTTACACGTATTACAAACCAACGTTAGAAATATATCCTATTATGCCAAGCGACGGCTCACAAATATCCCCGTTTTCTATGCATCGGACTCTGGGTTGGTTGGGTTGCTTGGGCTCGTGGGTTTCCGGGAAGGAGGTTAGAAGGTCGTATTTTTAACGCAGTGGCAAACCATGAGAACGGTTTCACTCTTAAGGGAGATAATGGAAAATATATATATATATATATATATACACTTCAATATGTTGTATTATATACAAAAAAATACACGTGACAGCATTAAATCCTTGATCATAACTTTTGATGATGCCGGGGATCAATGTCCCCGCGGCCCGGTCTCTGACCTGCCGCGGGGACAGGTCAGAAAGTAAGGGAGATGCATCCTCAACTTTCTAACAAGCGTGTAATAGTCAACACTGTAAAATCCGGATCATCTACTGTGAGTGTGTGTGTGTGTGTACGGGCTCGCCATAGCCCGTGCTACTTTGAACTTTTTGTTCCAGGTATCGAATCTTAAACAACAACATTCTACTGTGAAAACTCAGGCCCCAAAGTACTGTGCTCCCAGGATACTGTGCAACATCCTCATATCGGACATAGATAAGGATACAACCTACAGTACTGTATCCTCCTCTACAGATAACACTAGGCTTTTCTTGTAGTAGACAACATAGTCGACACAGTAAATCTCCACTCAGACAACATAGTCGACACAGTAAATCTCCACTCAGACAACATAGTCGACACAGTAAATCTCCACTCAGACAACATAGTCGACACAGTAAATCTCCACTCAGACAACATAGTCGACACAGTAAATCTCCACTCAGATGTAAATCAGGTCTTTCAATGGGCTACAGAAAAAAAAATGTTTAACAAGGATAACTTCGTATGGAAAAAAAAGATATCAAAATTGAAACTCCATACAAAACGCATTGAACCACACTACAGAACGAAAAAGCAAAGTAAAGGATCTAGAAGTTATCATAGCAGAAGACCAAACCTTTAAAGAAGATATCTCAAGATATCTCAAGATATCATCTCAAGATAACCTCGAGAAAGAACACAATAAATTAACTGTACTGCAAGAAAAGTGAGAGGTTGGATAACAAGGACCTTCCAAACAAGAAAGGCTAGACCAATGGTGATACTTTTCAAGACACTAGTGCTCTCTAGGGTGGAATATTGTTGCACTCTAACAGCCAGGCCATCAAGGAGCTGGTCCCAAACCTGCACACAGAAATAACATCACATGAGACCAGAAGGCATGGCAGGATGTGCAGAATACCCCCGTTGAAGAGCAGAGGTGCAACAGGTACTCTGAGAGAGAACTCTATCAACATCAGAGGCCCGAGACGGTTCAACACGCTTCCGCTACACATAAGGGACATAACTGGCCGACCCCTCACAGTGTTCAAGAGAGAACTATCAACATCAGAGGACCGAGACTGTTCAACACGCTTCCACTACACATAAGGGACATAACTGGCCGACCCCTCACAGTGTTCAAGAGAGAACTATCAACATCAGAGGCCCGAGACTGTTCAACACGCTTCCACTACACATAAGGGACATAACTGGCCGACCCCTCACAGTGTTCAAGAGAGAACTATCAACATCAGAGGCCCGAGACTGTTCAACACGCTTCCACTACACATAAGGGACATAACTGGCCGACCCCTCACAGTGTTCAAGAGAGAACTATCAACATCAGAGGCCCGAGACTGTTCAACACGCTTCCACTACACATAAGGGACATAACTGGCCGACCCCTCACAGTGTTCAAGAGGGAACTATCAACATCAGAGGCCCGAGACTGTTCAACACGCTTCCACTACACATAAGGGACATAACTGGCCGACCCCTCACAGTGTTCAAGAGAGAACTATCAACATCAGAGGCCCGAGACTGTTCAACACGCTTCCGCTACACATAAGGGACATAACTGGCCGATCCCTCACAGTGTTCAAGAGAGAACTATCAACATCAGAGGCCCGAGACTGTTCAACACGCTTCCACTACACATAAGGGACATAACTGGCCGACCCCTCACAGTGTTCAAGAGAGAACTATCAACATCAGAGGCCCGAGACTGTTCAACACGCTTCCGCTACACATAAGGGACATAACTGGCCGACCCCTCACAGTGTTCAAGAGAGAACTATCAACATCAGAGGCCCGAGACTGTTCAACACGCTTCCACTACACATAAGGGACATAACTGGCCGACCCCTCACAGTGTTCAAGAGAGAACTATCAACATCAGAGGCCCGAGACTGTTCAACACGCTTCCACTACACATAAGGGACATAACTGGCCGACCCCTCACAGTGTTCAAGAGAGAACTATCAACATCAGAGGCCCGAGACTGTTCAACACGCTTCCACTACACATAAGGGACATAACTGGCCGACCCCTCACAGTGTTCAAGAGAGAACTATCAACATCTGAGGTCCGAGACTGTTCAACACGCTTCCGCTACACATAAGGGACATAACTGGCCGACCCCTCACAGTGTTCAAGAGAGAACTATCAACATCAGAGGCCCGAGACTGTTCAACACGCTTCCACTACACATAAGGGACATAACTGGCCGACCCCTCACAGTGTTCTAGAGAGAACTATCAACATCAGAGGCCCGAGACTGTTCAACACGCTTCCACTACACATAAGGGGCATAACTGGCCGACCCCTCACAGTGTTCAAGAGAGAACTATCAACATCAGAGGCCCGAGACTGTTCAACACGCTTCCACTACACATAAGGGACATAACTGGCCGACCCCTCACAGTGTTTAAGAGAGAAATATCAACATCAGAGGCCCGAGACTGTTCAACACGCTTCCACTACACATAAGGGACATAACTGGCCGACCCCTCACAGTGTTCAAGAGAGAACTATCAACATCAGAGACCCGAGACTGTTCAACACGCTTCCACTACACATAAGGGGCATAACTGGCCGACCCCTCACAGTGTTCAAGAGAGAACTATCAACATCAGAGGCTGGAGACTGTTCAACACGCTTCCACTACACATAAGGGGCATAACTGGCCGACCCCTCACAGTGTTCAAGAGAGAACTATCAACATCAGAGGCTCGAGACTGTTCAACACGCTTCCACTACACATAAGGGACATAACTGGCCGACCCCTCACAGTGTTCAAGAGAGAACTATCAACATCAGA